TCATAAGGGTTTTTATTACCCCCATTTTCTGTCTCGGATGGTGATTAGATAATTTGTTTAGGTAACGTTCCGTGTGAGTGGGTTTTCGATAAACTTTATGACCCAATTTTCCATTTGGTCGCCTTTCTACCTGCACATCTAAGAATGCCAACCTGCCGTCTTTTTCTGTCTCCATGGTAAATTTTATTTTATTGTTAATGGAATTGAGATGCGCCAAGAAGATTTGAAGCTCCTTTTCGCCGTGGCTCCATATTACAAATGTGTCGTCCACGTAGCGGAACCAACACTTGGGCTTCTTTTGGGCAGTATTTAATGCCTGCTGTTCAAACTTTTCCGTGAAAAAATTTGCTATGACCGGGCTTAATGGGCTTCCCATGGCTACACCGTCAACTTGTTCATAAAACTCCTTGTTCCATTGGAAATAAGTGGTGGTTAAGCAGTGTCGGAAAAGTTCTGTGGCATCGTTCCGAAAACGTGCAGATATTAAATCCAAAGTCTCTTTGACTGGCACCATAGTGAACAAAGAAACAACATCGAAGCTCACTAATATGTCTTTGGGTGACAATGTGATGTTTTTGACCTTCTGTATAAACTGAGTCGAGTCCTTGATGTGTGATGCTGTCCTCCCTATGAGTGGTTCAAGGAGTTTGGTTAGATGCTTGGCTTGAAAATGTCTACCGCAGTTGTAGACGAAACGTCGAGTTTAATCTCGGGACCACGGCTCAAAAGCCCGGAAATATTTAGTAAAGTAAAGCTTTGTTATGAATCATGTTTGGAAAGGTATCGAACTCGGATAGGGACAAGGTGGAAGCAATTTCAAGATGTAGAGACAGACGAGTCTTATTGATTTGGTCTATTTCCTTACGGATATAATGAATTCTTTCTCGAAATAATGCGAAACTAGATTTTTGAAGAATTTTATACACGAATAACGTTATGGTCTCTACAACGTATCAAAAAAGGTCAGTGTACAGAGTCATCGTACCGGTTTCAGTCGGTGATCTTCTCCAAATGCGAGTCAGTTTCAGTTAAGCCCTGAAAAAGCGCCTAAAAATTAAGTTCTTTAAAAGCAGATGTCTTATTACTTAATCTCAATTAAACTACCTACACATATTGTAAGTTTGAATAAAGCTTCGAGTTTGAGATTGAGAATTTTATACCCACAAAACGAGCCTGGTTGAGAGTTTTGTTTTTCGATGGGTAAAATAATATTTAAAAAAATAAAACGTTGTTAACCGAGAAATAAAAAGAGCGTCTTATCAGTAACGGTTTCAAATGTCTTAGAATTGGATTCGTAAGATCCTGCAATCCATTTTGACGAAGCCTCAATGAAAAACTCCGCGAGTTATGCAAAACTTCGCTTTTTCAAGTAAAGGAGAACCATACATGATCATTTGACTAATGTCCCTCTTTGGTTCGGAGTTCGTAGCGTCGACACGAGGTCGACGACCTGCCCGACACTAAACGTTCAGTGCGACAACTGGAAAATAATCGAGAGATGTTGCACATGATTAAGCGTAGCACACATCTGCGAGTCTCGTTTACTCCAGATCCCAACAATTATAGCGACTAAGTCCGCAAAGACGAACCAAACAAAGGGAAACGTTAACCGTACATTCGGCTGACGGGTTTTCCCCCTCTTCCCGCATCCGGGAGGATAACATTTCGCGAATTGGGCCATGAAACTTAATCAGATAGATTTTATCGATGCCGCCTCCGAGTGCGACGGTTTTCTCCAAATACCACCCCCGGTTCGGGCGACGCCTGCAAGTTAATCTGGGGTTACCGCCTGATTAAAAATAAACACAAGTGTCGGAGATAATCAGCGACGTAGTTAATGTTTGATGGGTCGCCGTTCGAGAGAGGGTACAGGAAGGGTAGATAGTGTTAGCGATTACGGATAAGATTGCGCATATACGTAGAGGTTGCGCGAAATCGGCAATCGATGAATTAGTCGGAATCAATCCTACGTAGACTGACAGCCCGCATACATATATTTGTGTTGATTATGGTCGATTTAATTATTCGGCGATGCGTGCCATCAATTATATCGTCGGTGGCGGAATGCGCCTGGAATGCACCGCTCCCGGACCGGGATTTGTAATACCCTATTGTTGGCCCGGGCCGGCGCCATGTTGCCAATTAAGCGGAAATTATAAATCGCCGAAGCGGGATAAACCGGAACAAAGGAAGAAGTCGACTGTTGACGGGCGAGCGAAGAAACCCGCCATTTGACGATTGTCCCCGGATTCAATCAAGACAACATTTCATTTGTATTGATTCACAATTCGTAGAGTTACGATGCCCATCTTGTTTTGATACATATGTTTTAAACTTTGTGTCCATCAAATGGGCCAGATTTAATTTGATTTTCCAATTGTTTTAATCCACCATCCGGTACATTTGTGTATGGGGACAGTTGTGTAGTGCAAATTCATCTGTTCGAATGACCTGCTGTAAGTGAAATGTTACCTTTTAATTGGCTTCATGCAATTTTGAGGTTAATAAAAGAATTGGATTTTTTTCTATCTAAAACCAGCCACATTGGTATGATTTTTTTGAATATACTTGTTAAATTGTTTAATTGATCTAGCTTGCGGGAAGTGTTACTTTACCACTTCAGTTTCGTTTCCCACGGATCCGAGCCAGTTCCGACATTTCCGGGATTTTACCGCACGGGTTTGGGGTTTTCGGAGATATTTCCCACGGTTTGAATTTTGACGCTTGTCAATTCTAATGGTCATGTCAGCGAATGTGTTAGTGTTTTTTTTTGCGAAAATGAACCCAACATCTAAAAGTCATAGAAAAAGTATAGTATGCAACACGTTTGATAAAATTTTTAAGTCACTCGTTTATTAAACACTCGCTCCGCTGCGCTCTGCTAGTGTCAAGTAATCTCGTGAGTTAAATGCCGTTTACTGCACTTGTTGCATAATATACTATATTCTATAAAATGACGTAGAACAAAAATCGTATCGAAAATAGTAATAATGTTATTTACAAATCGTCTAAATTCCACCCGCGTTGGTCGTTGATGAATTCAAGTTGCTGGAGTTTGCAAATGAGAAAATCATTTCAAATGCCGAATCTATCCTAAACAAATTGCCATCTCCAAGATATAATGAAATTCGACTTGAAACCGCAAAATTCTTTTAAAAATCCACCTCTCTAAATCTAATATTCCACAGCCTAAATGCGTTCCTCCAATACCTCTAAAATCAAATCCCGGCATCGTAATTCTAAAAGCAGATAAAAAATTCAAGATATTCTTGTAGACGGGTCCTATCGTCAACTTAAAAACAATCCTATGTCCTCTATGGAATGCAACTTTAAATCTGTTATAAAAGCTTCTCCTCTATCAGAATCCCTGAAAAGGGCTATCACCCCTCGTGAAGTTCAAATTCCTCGTCTCCGGACTCTCTAAGATTCACTAACCAGGATTACCCCTTCGGTCTATTGTCAGCACCATTGGTTTCCAACATATTCACTAGCAAAATATCTAACTGCTATATGAAAATACTATAAATGATAGTTGCGTACCTAGCTCCATTTCTATTTCACTGAACAATTAAAAAATCACATTAGATCTCCGCAAGGTATTCTGATTAATTTCAATAAAGAAACAGATAATCTAGAGCCAAACCTTCTTATCTTTCAAAATTGCTTCTCTGGAACACGGTCTAATTTTTGAATAACCTTTGGGAACAGCTGTGGGTTGTCCATTATTACCATAATTAATTAAGGTAAGCCGACATCTTCCATTTGCAACCAAAATTATGGAAAGGTTAAATTGATGATACTTCAGTTATTTGACCTTATGGCCAAGAATCCCTAGTTGATTTTCTTCGACATTTAAACTCTATATACCCTAACGTACGTTTTACCATTGAATTGGAAACTAATAACCAGTCTTAGATATTCTTATCAATAGAAAATCCTAGCATGGGATCATTGTGTTTACAAAAAACCTACGCACTCAGATCGATACCTTTATGCATTGTCACATCCATATCCAGCTCAAAAAACATTGGTTATCAAATATCTTGTTTACAGACCAGTAAAACACTTCTCATAATTTCCACAACCTTCCAGAGACAACGAATCCCAAAGCGCTTGTCACTGTTGTCCTTCTTTATATTCGAAATATCACATATCAAAAGTTCTTAAGAAATATAACTCCAAAATTACTTCTTCAAAAATATCGTAAATTCTTCGATCCGTCAAATACAAAATTCTGTTTGAGGCACCAACATTCCATGTATATACGCAAAGAATACATTGAACCGGACATCAAATTTCTAGAATCTATAGAAATCTATAAACAAACATCTATAAACATCTATAATCTATAAACAAACAATGTAAGAAACCGTCATCCGAGTTTCTTGAAAGATTAATAATAATGTCTAACCTTAAGCTGCTCTGTGGTTACCTTATCGACTTGTAAGTAATAAAGTGTTAATAATTTGTAATTCGTTCCGAAAACCCGTCATTAAGTTTTTCTTTGACCTTCTTAATCGGTGCGACTGGCGGCCGAACAAAGGGCCGGACTATTGATCGATAGTTCCCCTTCCAACCGCGCGCTTAGCACTTACAAACTTTCAACGGCCTAATAAACCCATTACCGCTTCGAATTTATTTGTAAAACACGTAATAACAATAATAGCGTTCGTTAATAATTATTGCACAGGGGCTCGCGTGATGAGGTCGGGATTCCGGCCGACGTAGCATTGAAGTGCACGCCATTCATTTTTATTCCTGGACGGGTTTATGGAATATCGCGAAACGTTTACTAGATCCCAACATGCGATATTACTTATTCCTAGACGGCGTTGCCGTCCGTTATTTATTGAAATCTAAAATCTATACGGCCATATTCGATACGGTATCGTAAATCTGACGTGTTTCGTTTTAAATAACCTCGAAACCTGCATCCACATAAAGCTTTGACAGACGATAAAAATGAGTACCGTATCGTGATACGATAATTTTCGTTTCAGTTTCCGAGAAATTTTTCGAGTTGAAGCGTGTAAGGGCCGACGACGGCTACATCAAGGTCCAATGTCTCGCCGATGGCGTGTTCCCGAAACCGGTCATGAGTCTACATTCGCAAGAGAGGTAAGAAGCGCACCCATTATGTACCGAAAGTAAGGTCTGTTCGTAGATACAAGAAAGTGACTAACTGATACGAATTAAGGAAAGACCCGGACAAGCTGTAAGAATGAAATATGGCCGAACAGGTCCGTACTTTGCTTGGAATTTATGATATATCAATTATTTTGGGTTTTGTTAGGAAAGATACTAAACAATATTTATTTATTTATGTATGTATTTATGTTTAAATCTAAAAGAAAATTACAAATTATTTTTATTACCAACCTAAATTACTTAAAATGATTCACATAATATATCCTGTTCTAATTATTATTTGTTCGATATTATTTGCAATATGGATATACGATTGTTCTGCTTTTTCTATATGTTTCTATATGTTTAGCCCGACTTTGTGGAGGGATGTTAAAAACTTCGGTTTCTATAAGTATGAGTATGAGGTCATTGGAGTTGAAGAGAGAGAGAAGAATCTTTAATATTTTTCGCAGGCAGAGAAAGTCCATTTGGAATCCAACCATCTTTAGAGCCAGCATGCAAAATAGTTATTCTTTTACCGTTTTTTGATGGCGCGTTTGTTATACACTTATCAGTTGAGTCAGCCCAACCCTTTTCCGGGGTACCGTAAGTGTCGAACCAGGTTTCATCCAAGTAAATAATTGGCCTTTGTTCTTCTCTGTAAATCGTAATTTTTTCTAAATATTCTAAATATTCCATTAAAACTTGGCTTTTGTGATTTTTTTTTCATCTAAAACCCATGTGTTGAATACACTTCCATAAGGTAGTTCTGCCATTAACATCGGTTTCATCTTTTTCAAGCCTTCTAATTAAGATATCTAATGCAGACACGCTTTGTTCCTCGTATAATTGGTAAATTTTACGCCGTATTATATCTTCATCACTTTCATCTACACTCGAGAAAATGTCAGCATCGCTTTTTTCTTTCCTCGCTGAAATGGGATTATTCACAATTTTCCATACAGTTGATGTTGGAATTTTCGTCAATGTCAATTTTCGTCAAGTCAATAGAATAGTGTTTTCAACACACACACGCTGTATTACACACGAAATAAGAATGATTACCAATAAACTTAAACTAAGTAGTATACCAAACCAAAGAATATTAAACACAGGAAGGTATAAAATTATTTTCTATTATGGACCACAATTTTCCTGAATTTAAATTCCGAAACTTTCGGTAATAATCTTGTTGCATTGTATGTTAATGTCCATCCTTGGATAATCCCAATCAAAAGCAATTGGTCATTTTCTTATATCTATGAGCAGACCATACCCGACCAATCGAAATAGGCGACGCATCCGTAGTCGAAGGCCCAAATCCGTCTGTTAGTCGATGGTGCATTTATTGCTTTGACGTTTTAAGTATATTACACTACCTTTACCGCAAACCTCCGCAGAACCGTGGTAAGATCCATCCCAACAGATTTTTATTCTGCATTAAGTAGCTCTTGCCTGAGATGGACCGTAACGAATATTTGTAGAAATTTTAAATTTGATTAAGCATTGACGCTGCGGGGTGTTTTCGAATAAGAAGCTTTTATTCTAAAATCAGATGATCAGATATCGTTCTTAAGAGTTTAATCTAAATTGCAATATATATTACGGTGGTATTTGACTATGATCCTTCCAGTGATTAAGTATTTATGTACTTGATTCTTGAGCTTTGACCCTGCGAGGCTGTTTTCACTGGATAGTTGAAAGGGGAAGGGTAAGTAACTATACTCTATTATCTTACCGGTAAGTTTGAAAATAATCATTTTTATCCTGTGTGCCTGTCGATTAACAACATAGTTCTTGCATTTTTGTGTCTTCTACATAGTCCTTCGATTTGTAAACAACAACAGTCTTTTTTGATACTGTAGTTTTAAGCTTTAGAATGTGATGACCGTGGAATGAAGCAGATGTTCCCCTGTTAGAAGAAGACATGGAAAACAACGCAGTATTTGAAGACGAAGTGGAGATGGTAGTCGAACCTAGTGACATTTTAAAAGACGAACTACCTCAGTAAGTCCTCGGATGCTAAACAAATTGTTTAGAAATTTAGAAGGCGAGCAGCAATAAAAGCAAGTGAAATGACCATAGTTCGGAAGCGAACTGTAAGCAAAAATTGCTGCAAATGAGATAGTCAACAGGAAAGTGGGAGAAAATGCTGGTATTTCGGAGATCTAATTAGGCGTATGATCTACGACGCCTATGAAGTGAATAGAAGAACTGCATAAAAAAGTACTGACGGACTTAAATATTAGTTGTGCCAAAGAGTCGGTGTGTACTGTTTTGAAGAAAATGGATTTTCAGTTCCAAGCAATTAATAATCGTCAAGTGCTAATGGAATCTCCAAGAATTTCGTCATGGAAGGTGGATTATTTAAATGCAATTGAAAAATTTCGAGAGCAAAATAGTGTATTTAGTGGTTCGACACTCACGACGCAGTAAAACAAGGATGGTGTGATAAGAGTAACAAGTGTGTACTAGACGTGTCCTCTTCACATGGAAAACGCATAATAATTCTTCATACTGGGTTTACAAATGGTTGGGTGGAGGATGCCTTATTTTCGTTGGCCAAAAACGTCAAAGTTTCAAGTATGGATTACCATAAAAACATGGTTGGAGGACTGGTTTAAAACTAAACTGCCAAAACTATCAACAAATACTGTTATTGTGTTGGATAATGTCTCGTATCATTCAGTCCAAATTTGAAAAATTCCAAATACTACGAAAGTGATTTATATTTTGGAGAGAGCTACACGAAAAAACAACTTTATCGATATCGATGAAATCTTGAGGTTATCCCGATATCATTATATGTTTAACCCGATTGAGATTGAGTAACTGATAAATGATACTATGCAGAAATGTATTGAAATAGAACCTAATAAACTGTTTCTTTGTAGTAATTTTTGTAGAATTCCTCGGCGAAAACGATTGAAAACATACTTATATCCCGCTTGTTATTGTAGGTAGATAAGTTCCTAGGACGGTCCTGGAATAATTACAGGTGTGTTCTATAAGTGGCGGCGGTATTGGGGTAACAACAGGATCGGTTGTAAAAGCACTATATTTCTGGTCGAAGTATACCAGCTACACAAATTTGATTTTGAGTCGACTACTACAGGATTTTCCTAGTTTTGATTAATTTTTTATCGAGGTCTTTTATTTATACACTGTTTATGTGTGCCTGTTTACTCCACCCCTAACGTTAACATTCTACCGTTGTAGGTGATGTTCGCGTATAACGCTTCGAATTTTTGGTCTCTGATTGTTCTTTTGATTAGTTTCATATTGCTGCGCTTTGTACGCCCACCTCCGCAGTCGGTTCTCTTAATCTTACACCTGACACGGGCTGCGTGTCGGGGCGTGGCTCGCCATGGGGAATTTATGGGTTAACCGCCCTCATTCCCTATTGTTTAAAACATTCTATCGAGGAAGCTTCTAATTGCTTCCTGTACCTGTTTTCGAGGCATCGCATCCATCGCTATTACGCTTACGGTGTAATTATGTCCGGCGCTGGAGGTTTATATCCGCAACGACTGCGCCGTATTACTATCGTTTGATGTTTCCATTTGTCAAAACGTGAAGACGTCTTGAGGACGGCGGTTTAACGGTCTGCGTCAGACAATCCTAACCTACGGAAACGTAAAAGTGTTTCAACCGCCAACCCCCGAGATACGTATAATCTGAATGCAGTCGCTTTATAGTCGGTGCAGTATTTCCCATTCATCCGACACTTTTTAAAAGGCGAAAAGGATCGCTTTCGAGGGTCTCTCGTAGTCAACGTCGAAGGCGCTTTTCGAAACAGCCAGCCGCCGAAAGAAAGCTTTGACGGCGGCCCTCCACAATTTTCAAAGTGCCGCTGTGTGCGTATGTGTGTGTTTGCGAGAACCGTTTACTGCGCGCCTCGGAAAATAGTCTACAATCACCACCCCTCCGAAAGAGGGTTGTTCGATTTACGTCGAGCATCGCGAAGAGCGTGGTTGATTGTTTAATAGGGGACGGGTTTACCCCAACGCCATTTTTATCAGAGAGCCGACTGGTTATACATATTAAATATATTCATTACCATAAATATGCCGATGACATCAATTTGTATAACTCTTTTGGTGACATCGACCATCAACAAATTAACGAATGCATTAATTTCGGTATAACTAATTTTTACAATTGTCCCCACAAGGTTTAACGGCGTTTCTTCAATTCTGTGTTTCAATTTTTTCTTCTTCTTATTCTTATTTTAGGACTGGGTAGTGTGTTTTCATCAAGAGTTTGCCAAGAGCATTTGGGATGCTGAGGACCAGCTTTCATGCCATCTTATAGGTGGTCGTCCAGGAGGTAGAGCTGTGTCTGGTTTCTTTTCCTTTTGCAATTTTTGCCAATCGTTCATTTGGCATTCTGTCAACATGGTCTGTCCATTCTCTTCTACTTACTGCATCCTAAATATTAAACATATTCCTTCATTTCTCTTATAATCGACTAAGGTATGTCCTGTTATTGATCTTAGCGGCATTTCCGTTGTTCTCAATCTAATTTGGAGGTGCAATTTTCAAAAAACCTTTTCAACATTTGTGCGACTTCACATATCCCCACCGCAAATAGTTTAGCGGAGTTAAATCGCACGATCTTGGGGACCAATTAACGAGAAAGTGGTTGGTTTCCAAAAGTTTTCTTCAACAAATCAATTGTTGCACGAGCTGTGTGACACGTTGTGTGGTCTTGTTGAAGCCACAGCTCCTTCACGTCATAGTTATAAAATTGATGAACGAAAAAGTCCATAATCATGGCTTTATAGCGGAAGTACGGATCAATTATTCCATTAACCTATAAAGCTCACCTTTTCTGTATGTAACGCTGACTCAAAATACACTTGAGGATTATCATCGCTCCAAATACATACATTCACCGAATCTACGCCTTACTTGATGATCGTGTGGCTTCAATTCTTGGACGAGTTGGATTTTGTCAACACGCAAATCAAGATCATTCTTCAAAATCTTCCATAAACTGACAGCTAAATGGATTAATTGCTCTGACGGACGATTAGGTTAAGCATAAAATGAACGCGATGTGCGATACTTATTTCGAGCAGAACTATGATTTTAAAAATAAATTTGCACAATTTGGAAGGGTTGTTCATGCGTCAGTCTGGTCATTTTAAAATGCTGAACCAAGCTAAACATGATTTACTTGACAGCTGACAAAACGCCAGCCAGTTAAAAAAGTGTTGCAAATTTAAAATTTTATACCTCTAAAAAAACTCTATTTGCTTGCTATCCGCTACCCTCCTTCGTTCCTTTTATTTTCCCCTCCTTGTTCTAAAAATCTTCTGAACTTTGCTTGAGCTGAAGCTTAAACAGAAGTAATTTGTTTTTTTTTGCTCTAGTGTTGTTTATGCAATGACCACTTTTGTTTTATTTCCATTTTATAATATTCTTTAACAAACCGCTCTCGTAGGGGCCTTCGAGCCGTAACGAGGTCTTCGGATGCCTGAAATCGCATGCCGCCTCCGTCGCATAAGCGTCGCGTCGACTTTCTTGCAATATTGCCACGGATAAAACCGTATTTTACTCGATATTACTGCCGGTTTCCATGCAAACTGTGCCGCTATATCTGGATCGCCCGCCATAACGGACAATCGCTCTCCTCGTTGATAATGAAGACCGGGACCGCCGCCCCAGGGTGATTTTATAACCTCCCCGCTCGAAGCGCTACAAACTCCCTGTCCGCGATAAAATCTTAACCCTTAAATTGCCGACCGGATGGATTTATGAGGAGCTTGAGAACAGAAGCGGCCCAAGCACTCGTTTCAATTCAGCATACGCCTCTAACCCAATCGAGACGCGTTTGGGTGATGCCTCTAGATTGATGGGCGGAGCCTGTGACTTATCTCGTGCGTGATTGGTTTTCTGAACAACACCGTAAAAATTGTTTACCCAATTAAGATATTAAGGTGACGCCTCTGGCTCAAAGCCTATGTTTGGGTTTCATTGCTAACGAAAAAATTACTACTGCAAAACAACAAATTTATTAATTTGATGATTGTGTTTCCATTCGTATTTAACGTCTTTATATACACACTTTTTTCAGTACCTTAGGGTTTTGAGCCATCATTTATATGAGTGTTAAATTAAAAAAAAAAAACAATCCCAAATTAGAGAGACAACGACGTCAACGTCAACTTTTGTTCCTATTATAAATATTTCAATAGCGGGTAAATTTCAATTTTTCAATTCTTTGTTTGCTCGGGCTCGAACACGCAATAAAAGTAGTCAAGTTCGTCGAAACAATGGCACCCGTCGAGTGGTTTCAAACATCTCCGGGTTTCCGAGAGTCGTTTTACCTGTATTTGTTTCGCGTCATTTCCGCGGTCTCGAGCTCAAAATGATGGTAGGGGGGGGAGGGGGTTGATTTCCGAGCCGCGAGAAAGGGTGGGCAGGGGGGAGATCGGCCGAAACGCCGAGTAATTACTTTTCTGTTAAAAGTGTTGCTTCGCAAATTCGACAAGCACAAAAGGTCTATAGTCTATACAAGTTCGAGCAGTTTATTGTCTTAGAAGTCTATACGGGGTGTTTCCCTGAAGATACCAAAATGAAATTGGCAGAGATGGAATGGGGAATATTTTAGAATTTTTTTTGGACATTGCTATGATACAAGATAAGTGTCCGAAATTTGAAGCTATCGACTTCAAAGTTAGCAAGCAAATGGCTTTCAACCCTTTGACGGAACCTATTGAAATTGGGGCGCTTGGGGGTCGGGAAGTATTTTTAAAAAGGGTCTAAGAAAAAGATCATTTCTCGAAAACCGTATGGGCCACCGAAAAAATTTTAAACGAAAAGACGCAAAAGATTTGGCTCCATAAACGTTTATTCTTGACAATTTTTCAAAAATGTACAGGGTGCGCCGGATATTAAAAAAAAACTGAAAACTGGGTCCCCCTATTTCTTTTATAAGACGATAATAGCCCGTACAGACAGCTTGTATTTATGGTTTTTACCTATTATACAGGGTGTTTCTGATATTCCGTGCAATATTAAAAAACGTAAAGTGCCCTAGATCCGGTAGAGAAAAGTAGACGTCCACAGCTACATTTAAACTGGTTGCCATCGAATATAGCGAAGTATTTTTCAAAGATTTTAGAATTTTTTTTTAGATTATCTTGGTTTAGAGAAAAAAAATATTTTCTCCAACAGTATTAACCCAACCGGTAAAATTATTTAACCGGGAGACGCGGAAGATCCAGTGCTATGACTTCTATTTTTTTCGATTATACACGGGGTTTTTCAATTATAGACAAAAATCTAAAAGACCTTGAAAATTGTTTTATTTCAGAATAACCTATTTGGAGTAAATCAAAATTTGTAGAAAATATGGCCAATTGGTTCAAACTATATTATATTTTTGCATTTTTTTACGGTTTTGTGAAAATTGCTATTTCTTCAGTCCAGTCGCCATGACGTCATCGACTATTACGGAGTACTAAAAAAACAACATTTTCTCTAAAACCATTTGCTCTGTTGGAAAAATTCACAGATTAGAAAACGTGGAAGATCCAGGGCTATAACCTCTAATTCGAGAATTTTTTGAATTATTTACAGAGTGTCTTGTTTTTGGGTAAAAATTGAAAAAAATCTTTAATAAAATCCGTTTTGTGGATTGTGCGTACTGGATAATGAAAGTATATATGAACAGTTTTCCTTAATAAATTTAAAATTTAAAAATATACATTACATAGTAATGAAAAGGAACTTTTATTCCATTTTACCAACCCACTATTTGATACAAGGAGTACACAACAATTTTCACATAACGTATTTCTTATATTATTTCAATTTTAGCAATGATCCCTCGTTCAATTACCTTATCAATTTGATCAAGGATTCCATTTTTCGCTTGATATTTTTTCCAATTGAAAGAAAGCCAAACCATTAGCCGTGATTGCTGAATATATCTTCGCGGCGTCTTGCAAAACTTTAAAAAGAATCATAACGAATCAATGTCAATTTTGACGAATATATTCTGAAAGACAAAAAAATGGGGTAACTGTACAAAATTTCGTGAAGCGAATTTAATTCAGATGCTATATATAGAAAAAGTTCATATTAATATTGTACTGAACTTCATAATAGGGTGTTTAAAATTTTCCGTCTGTTGCAATTTATATGAAAGGTATCGAAAAATATAAGAGGCCTTCGTAATGGAATGTTGAATGTTTATTAAAAAAAAAAAACTGTTTACAATTAGAGTCACTTTCAAAAAGTTGATTGATTCTGCTTAAGAGGTGCTTCTTGTACAGGGTGTTTGTTGATGTTTTGCACCATACCTTAATCTTAAACAGCGAGAAAAAAAAATGGAGAAATTAGGTTTTTTTAATTTCATCTAATATGAATATTGGAAATACGGCTAAAAATAATAAAGGCAAATGAAACATTCTTATCAAATAAATAAAATATAAAATAAATTAAATTAAATTATTATTAATTAATTATTAAATAAATTAAAATATCATTGTATTCTATAATCAACAAAAGGTAATAAATTAAAAACCTTACATGCTTAACTTTTTTTTTTCAATCCATTCAAGATTTGGTTGCAGGTATGGTGCAAAAGATAAACATACGCCATGTACTTTTTCAATCGAATAAATCTTAGATATCAATTCTGGACCCACAGAGATATGTCTATGCCTAAAATATCGAAAAAAAAAATGAAAAGGTTCATTCAATATGCCCATGCGCGAGACTTAAAATTTCGTTTTTAACCAATGACCTTGCGACATTCAACAACCAACATGCCTGTTGACAGATCGTCAAGTTTAAAGGCGGCATTTTTATCGAGGTATTTCCTCAAAATATGCTTATAAATTATTAAATATTCCCCTTAGTAGAACCACTCTATCATCTATAGCTATCTGGGACCCATGTTATTTAAACTTTTTTTCAAATTTATTCTGTAACACCCCGTATATAGCGCGAAAGGACTAAATCACGCAACGTGACCGACGACCGCTGTCACCGGGAGCGCAGAAAAAAAACTATATCTCGGGAATGAAAAATACGGACGTCTAGTAACGTATAGGAGGGCGGGGGTGGGACGGAGACATTTTTCTCGGATATCCCCGCCGTCCCCCCCCCCCCTTACGAAAGTCCGCATAGAGGTTTCGATTCAACGGTGTGTGAAAAGATAAGGAGTATGGCGGACGTCCCATGGTCACTAAAAGCGTTCGCGGTGCGAGAGACAATTTTCGAGAACGGATACCAAAATGAAACGGGCGCGTTAAGAGGTTTTCCTGAAAAGGTCCGAATTGGTCCGGATCCTCGAAGGTATCTTTGAAAATCACTCCCTCCTCCTTTTCAGGGAAATAACGGAAGCGGTGGTGACGTCACGGCAGATCGGGCACCTCTACGAAATATCGGCGATCGCTACCCTGCCGGCACTTGAGAAGCCCGAGGAGTTTTCCTGCAAGCTGCATATCCCGCAGGCGAACTACACGACGCGTCGCGAGACGGTGTTCTATCCCGGTGAGTGTCCCGCTATCTACCGACTGCGCCCGTTAACAATATCGACTTATGTCGAATTATCGTGCCGTTAACCTTTTTCAAAGGATCTTTACTGCTTTGAATGCCAATTATATAGAGTATAATTTGAGAGTATACCTGAAGTCTGTTCCAACTGTCAACTAGTATATTTTTAATTATTGCATTTAAACCAGAATGAAAATAGTTGCGGTCTTATAGTCGACCTTTTGTAAATTGCAGTACAGTAAGACATTGCAATATGACTGTATGATGTATGATTGTATTGTTCGCGGTAGTTGTTATTCTTCCAGGAAGTAAGTTTTATTTCTTTCTTAGTAAAAATCTGTACAGTACTTGCCATGGTGAACGTTACTTATTGTATTTATACTATAAAAACATAATTACTACATTACCATATTTATGTCGATGAAATTGTAACGGGTTTAATTTGTCATTGGCTACTTCGACTTATGTTTCTCACATGTAGGTTAATAATGCTCGGACACTGCCTATTAAATGTTTTATTCTCACAATTACACACTGTCTTAATCCTCAAAACTACTGGTATTGCTAATTATTCTTCACTACTTCATTCTGTTCGAACACACTGTAACTGTTTAATTGCTTGGTGTGGTTTGCCTGTCCTAAAATGAATGTAAATAAGTGTAGGTCCTTGCATTTTTGCTGCAATTTAGGATGTTACTGCGGAATGCGGTTGGATTGCACGAGACGATCGTCTTGTATTCCTTCTTATTTCCGAACTAACGGCAATTTCTATTCTTGTCCCTTGCCTTCATTTATTTACATTTGTTGCTTTTTGGAGAGATTATATTTCAATCCTCTGTCAACGCAAATGCACCCGGCCATTAGTACAGTTAAGCACTCGACCTTTGGCCCACGTTCGTCTTCGATTTCCTAAGACGTTTCTGTATAATCTCATTCATGTTTGTGTGTGTGTGTAATAATTGGTTATTATTGGTAATAGCGGGTAGTAGTTAGGTAATATTTGGTCTCCTTGCGTTGATTAACTTCTGTCATTATTGGCCCATTGACCCTAGTGGTGTCGGAACCGAACATCGTATTGCCAGCACCACAGCACCATCGGTCTCTTTTTTTGGAACTTTGTGAAACTTCATCGGTCTTTCTTTCTTTGGCTTTGATTTATTTACTTAACTGAACTGAACTTAACTAAACTGAGCTGCTTGGGCCCTATACTTACTGCTTCCAATCGGTAGCAAAGTGAGCAAAGTATAGTAGGTATTGGATTTCCAGGATGTGCAGCATAATTTTTTTCTTGCGCACTGATATGTGGGGGCGGTGATGTTTTGTATGTATGTTCTGCATCTTGTGATGGGCCTATCTTGATATTTTGCGTTAAACAAATTAGAAATTATTACAAATTACAAAAATTAGAATTAAAATATTTCTCTGGGATTCATTTAGATTCGGCATGTTCACTTACTTCACTGACAGAAATGTGATTGTAACAATTTAAGAGCTTTATCTGCTCATTTCAAAATTAAATTTCTGCTGCAGAATTCGAAAATTGATTTTAAAAAATCGTGTTCCCACTATATTTTCTGTTTCCTGCCAAAAAGTGCGCAGTAATACCTGATTTTTAAATGAACTTGTTCCATATATTGGTCGTTCATTGTATATTTGCTTAAAAAAATCAGGAAATTAAAATAAAAAACGAAAGATGCCAAATAACCTTAAAGCTGGTTTAGACAAATTTGTTTTACGAATCGAAACTTGCGACTTTAGCATTTGGCGAAACAATAAATAAGATATAATTTATTTTTTCTACTCCCTTCTGTAAAATACCTGATTATACCTCGATCTAGCATGCGGGAAGCGTCGCCTTACCACGTGAGGTTCTTGTCCCACGAATCCGAGCCCCTTCGGAAATTTCCGGGATTTTACCGCACGGGTTTGGGAGGGAGGAATCGGATGTATTCGGAAATTTTACCTCACTTTTTGCATAATATACTATTAAACATTAATCTCATTTTGTTGTTCGTAATAATTAATAATTAAAAGCTTTTATTTAATCTCCAAATAGAAAAGACACCTGGATGAGGAAAAATATTTTGTTACCCCGATTCAACCCCTGCCTCGCAAGATTAAATTAAATTAAATCAAATTAAAAAATATAGTAATGAATTGGCATTTATTAACATTTTCTGAAAATCGCCCTTAACGCTCGAAATTTCACTTTTCAACATTAGAAATTTACAAAAAAGAACTCCTATTAAACTTTGCAATTTATGATATATTCTTGTAATTTCGCATTTATTTACGACATTTTTACAAGGGGTTCCGAAAGTAATGCACCACATTTTTGCTCCATATTCTTGGAAAATAATTACGGAAAATTCTAAGAAAACGAACATTTTTTTTCATTATAATGTTTAAAACATTCCAGATATTAGTACACTGCTTTTTTTCCACCAGTGACGCCCGTAAAGAAAAATATAGTACGCAACTGGTTTTTCCTAAAATAACAATTACATTTGAAATCACCATTCAATTTGGAACAAATTTAATCTTTTGATTTTTTCCGAACTATGCTTCGTTTTCAGGGAAAAAATAAAAAACCGAACAAAACTTTTATTGGATTTTCTTAACAAACCATGAAATTTGTTTATTATTTTTATTAAAAACCAAAGAAAATACCAAAAAATGGTCTTGGAGCCATAAACAAGTTATCTTCTCGTCTCCGAAAGGCACATGCGAATGCTTGTGCATATACGAGGTGTGCTTAAAAAGTAAGGTGACTTTTGCAATTGGGCGGCCTACATACATTCGATCTTCGATATTTTTTTTATGTTGGTACTCATGTCCCTAACATGTTCACAGTTTGAACAAGAAAAAATTTTATAAGTAGTACAAGCTGTTCCAAGATGGCCGAGAAGACGCCGATGACGAACCTCGCTCTGGACGCCCCAGCACGTCAATAACTGTTGAAAGCGTTGAAGAAAGAAGTGAAACAAATGCTGTTCAAAAATCGTCGAATCACTATTAGAGAAGTGGTCGAAGTTGTGGGCATGAAACATATAGCACCAAAATTTGTTGCGAATCTTAATTTTGAAAAAAAAAAGGACCGTCGAAAGAGCACTGGTGGCGAATCATGGGTATATGGTTATAATGTCGAACCCAAAGCTCAGTAGTTGCATTAGAAGAACCCAGAATCACCAATGTCACCAAAACTCAAGAAATCCATGAAGGGAAGAAAGTTTGAAGCGATTGAGGATATATAATAAATAAAAAATCACTGGGAGAACTCAATGCTATACTAGAAAGTGCTTACCAGAAGTTCTTCGAGGATTGGAAAAAAACGTTGGCACAAATGTATTATATCTGGGCGGGGGGGGATGACCTTGAAGGGGACAATATTAATTTTGATGAATAAATAAATACTTAATAATAAAACTTAAAAGTCACCTTACTTTTTAAACACACCTCGTATTGTTAAAATTGTGACAGTAACTAATAAAAAACGAAAAAATAAAATTACTTGTATCTCCATTTCTTTTAAAGGAAATCAGTAGCGTACCACTGACTGTCCATGAACAAATATTTTGGTTAATTAGGTCGCCAGTCCACTGGTCAAATGCTTGGACTCGTTGAATATGATTTGAAAATCGAGCAAAATTTTCCAAACCAAGACGTGCGAGATATTGAGATTATTTCAAAATTGTTCTAGTACTAAGTTCAGTATTTTCATCAATAGAATTTAAAACTGCCTCTTCAATTTCTGGAGTTCTTACTCACTTCTGTGTCCATTTGAAAATGTTTGCCTGTCTGGTATAACTCTAATAATAATAATTATTATTATTATTATTATTATTATTATTATTATTATTATTATTATATCAATAATAATATTTTTATTATCCCACATATTTAGAATACAATCAGTGTATTATGGATTTCGTCAAGTAGGTCAATATGGATCATGCAAATGAGGCAGAAAATTACATTAAAAATTTATATAATAATAATAAATATAGTGATGACAAACATTAATAGGTAAAATATTCGTTTAAATTATAAAAGGTTTTCTAGGAGGAAGAATTTAGTTTGGATTTAAAAATGTTACTACTGCCCGTTTGCTCTGACTATTGTAGACTCTAATATTATATTAGGGAAGCGCTTTTGATATAATCGCCTAGTTTCCGGCCCACTGCTATCAGTCAAACTATATGTATGGTTTGTTCATAGATATAAGAAAGTGACGAATTGCTTTTGAATGGGATTATCCAAGGGTGGTCATTAACATACAATGTAACAAGATTATGCAGTCTGGTGTATCTCAGGAGATACTCCCGCCCAAATGTAGAAAACACTATTCTATTGAGACTAAGGAAGTTATAAACAATCTCTATTTGACTCTCATTGAACGTGGTGCCAGCGAGCAAGCATCTTTAGAAGAAACGGCCACATTGACGAAAATTCCAACATCAACTGTATGGAAATTTGTGAATAATCCTATTTCAGCGAGGAAAAAACGAAGCGATGCTGACATTTTTTCGAGTGTAGATGAAAGTGATCAAGATATAATACGGCGTAAAATTTACCAGTTATACGAGGAACAAAACGAGCCTACATTAGATATCTTAATTAGGAGGCTTGCAAAAGATGAAACCGGTGTTAAATGTGACAGAACTACCTGATCTTTTAGAATTCGGAAATGGCCACTGCAATATCTAGAAAAAATTAGGATTTACAGAGAACAACAAAGGCCAATTATTTACTTGGATGAAACCTGGTTCGACACTTATGATACCCCGGAAAAACTATTTTGCATGCTGTTTTAAAGATGGTTGGATTCCAAATGAACTTTCTCTGTCTGCGAAAAATATTAAAGATTCTTCTCTGAATTACCATGAAGACACAACCGCTGATTTATTTGAAAGTTAATAGCGTAATTCTAATGGACAATACAAGTTATCACAGTAGACAGTTGACTAAAACCCCTTCTTCATGTGACACAAAAGCAA